CAAATTCAAAGAATTGTTCCATAAAATCTGTTCATAAGTTTTCAGTTGATCCTGCTAACAAACCAACAAAATTCCCTTTTCTTTTGTTTTTGTCTTGAATAAAATGGCTGGTTATCATCCCGCAGCAGCGTGTCGCAGATATTTTTTATTTATGCCCAATTGTGAAGCGTGGTCTGCGCTATGTTATTCCACGCCACAACGCAAGAAAGAAAATCACAAACTAACTAGGATTGTGGGCATCCATGGGTTGGTTTGACGAGCTTGTTCGCCATCTACAACCCGTCATCCAATGCTGGACGATGCACGGTTCACCTGTGAGTGTTCCCCAAAGACCGGCCGTGGCGCTGCGTGTTTTGGCTTCGGGTGCAAACCAACAGACCGTCGCACAGAGCTACAAACTAGCCTCCTGTACGCCGCCTGGCATAGTGTCCGAGGTGGACGGCGCTACAGCCAGAGTTTCTGCCGTTAGGTACCAAACAGGAAATGCGCATAGTGTAGAGCGGATGTAGAATTGACCAATCAGAGGCCTCTTGTCTGCGGCGCTGTCTGCAGTCACCTACAATTTTGGGGAGGTGCGTCAGAGTGTCTGCGGAAGGCGGGGGGTTGTGGGGGCACATATTAGCGATAACTGCGACACACAGACGACCTGGTTTCTGAGCGTAAACCAGGCTTGAGGCTGTCAATAGTCACTGCTGCCACCCTCTGGTTTAGTGGGGAACTGCTTGTTCCGCCAAATATCTCACAATGTTAGAGAATCTCTAAAAATTTCTGTATCCAGATTATGATGTGGATCATCCCCAACCTTTAATGGATTGTTATTTTGCATGAGGGACACCTCAGATTTCATTCAAATCTGTACATAACTTTTCAAATGATCCTTTACACACACAGACAGACAAACTCCCCCAAAACATTGTAAAGAAATCACAACCTGCAGGTAAAACTGCAGCCAATGATTTCTCCTGGCTGCCACCTGATTTATATAAATGAATGATTAACAGGCTTCTGCAGCACTTTTAGGCTGCTAAGGAGGTCATGCAGTTATTTGAATCAGGTGTGCTGCAACAGAGACACAATGCAAACATTAGAGATGATCCATTTTGTTATCCAGTGAGCGGAAATAAGAAAGCAGGTTTGATGGGATCAGTGTTCTGAGGGGATTCGATCTTAGCTTTGCCATTAGACCCCCTCTGCAGCCACGCTCACGCCGCCTAGCACCCACTTCCTGGCCCGCTCAGCCCACTCGCTGCCTTGTTTGCATCCGTCCGTAGGACTCCACAGCTTTTTAAGCGGTCAAGAGTGGCTGTTTCTAAAGCGTTTTGTGACTGTAGCTCCAGCAGGCATTTGATGTCGTAGATGCAGGATCGATGCCTGATTTGTAGCGTTCTGAAAACAAAGCTGTATGAGGTCGCTGCAGCTAAGCACTGTTAATGATGGAGCGCTAATTTGACTGTGATCTGGTTGAACTGTAAAGCGCCTTGAGATGACATGTGTTGTGAATTTGCGCTATAGGAATAAACGGAATTGAATTTAAATTGAATTGAATGTGCTCCATCTAACCTGATTCACTAAAGTGTAAAAAGATTTTTCTGTGAGATTTGACTACTTTGTTTTTATTTTGGATAAAATCCTAATGGATTTGCATCATCAATTGGTCTGAAAACTCTCCAATTTCTCTAAATAAGTAAAAAGCTAATTTGATCCCAAACTCTTCCAGATAAACTTTGGTTTACAAACACAAAATCCATCCTAAACGTTTTTAAGTTTCCCCTTCCTCTTTGTACATAGAATTTTAGTTTAATTGAGTTTCACTAGTTTTATTTAAGAGTTTTAAACTGAAATATGTTTGACTTGGAGCTGAATGATTTTTGTTAATAAACTCTTATATTTTGAACAGAAGTTGTGGTGAATTTATTCCATATATGTGCAGAATTAACTGTTTGACCACTATTAGAGCTCGAATCACTCTTTTTTTATTTATTGTTCTAACACACAGTTAGTAGGGCTGTGTGTCATAAACAGTATATAACAGCCGAAATAATAATTTTTACCACCCCTACTGGAGAGGACAATAAACATCTTAAAGTATCAGAAAATATGAATTGCCAGCTGGCTGGGAATTAAATATACAGCTATTCACAACAGTAATAAAACTGATTTGCTAATGGCTCGTGGTTTTTGAACTTTGACCTTATCTAGATTTCAGGTTTGGTCAAACAGGTTTTTGTAGCCCTGAAATATCTGAAGGGTCATGGAGATGTAAGCATATAAATCTCTGGAATGTGACTGAGACACATAAGTTAAAGGTTTTTGTTTGGCCCCTAGTTAAAAGACAAATGGTCACATTATTTATCCAATGTGAGAAATGAAACCGTTCCTATCAGTAAGAATCTGTTTTTCCATCAAGCAGAAATAGAAACTGTTTCATTTTATCTTTCGAGTTGCAGAAGTTCACTGTTTTTCCATCAAGCAGAAATAGAAACTGTTTCATTTTATCTTTCGAGTTGCAGAA